TCATAAAGAATTCCTACGAAAAAAAATTTGCAGGAAAATTTCCTGCGATTTTTTTTTACAAAAAATTTTGCAGAAAAATTTCTTACGAAAAAAATCAAAGAAATTACTATAAGTTTTATTAATAATTTTTCAACTTTCAAATGCTCATAAAGAATTTATCCGAAGCATTGAAAAATTTGCTTCCATACCTCTACCATGTGATACATAACCTTTTAAACTCTTAGATTGTAAATTATAAATCTAACACTCAGCCATACAAATCAAATTGTAAGATAAGTATTACCTCAACTTATATACTCTTTAATTATTTTATTCACTACTAGAAAAGTGTCATTTTCCTGCGAATTTTCCTACAAAAAAATATTTGCAGAATTTTTTTGCAAATTTTCTTGCAATAATAATTTCACATATATTTTTTTACGAATTTATTTGCGAAAAATAATTTGCAGATATTTTTTACAATTTTTTTACGAAAAATAATTTACAAGAAAATTTTGCAAATTTTGCTACAATTTTAATGATCATAGAAATTTTTTTCATGGTGAAAATTTGTAGAAAATATTGTAAGAATTTTATTTTGTTTCTTGCAAATTTTGTTTTGCAAGTAATGTTTACTAAACGGTAGAAAAATTTTGCAGGTAACTTTTCCTTCCGATTTTCTTGCCAATTTTAATCCGCAGGAAAAATCAAAAAAATATTTAAATTTATAAGTTTAACATTTTAAAAAAACTTCAAGTCCCACATCGATTAAAAAAAATAATTAAAGAGTATATAAGTTTGGGCAACACTCACCTTACAAGTTGATTTGTATGGTTGAGTGTTAGACTTATAATCTACAATCTTAAAATTTAAAAGATTATGTATCACATGTTGGAGGCATGGAAACAAATACTTCAGATGAATTTGAAACTTTCCTACAAAAAAAAATTATAAAATTTCACAAAAAAATTTGCAAGAACAACATTTCCTGCAAATTTTTATGAAAAATTCGCAGGAAAAGTCGCATGTAATAAGAGAAATTCTAGTAGTGATTTCCAATCGATGTGAAACTTAAAGTTTTCTTTAAATATTAATTAGATCATGTCTTTAGAAAATGATTAATTCATTATATTGAACAACAAATTTATATTATTGTAAATTATTTTAACTATTAAAATATTCAATATTCTAAACATATTAGTTTTATATTTAAAAATTATTATTAAATTAAAACTTATTGTCATTAATTTATCATATTTATAAAATTTTATATATTTAATTTAATAAAATTAACATTAAAATTAATTATAATGATATATTTATAAATAATTTAGTAAAATAACATTTTTTTAAATTAAAAATCTTTTAATTATTAAACTTATAAATTTAAACATTTTTTTATTATTACCGCAGATTAAAATTTGCAGGAAAATCTAGAGAAAAAAAGTTACTTGCGAAATTTTTTCTACTATTTAGTAAACATTACCAATGAATTTATTTTTATAGGAAAATCTACAAGAAATAAAATAAAATTCTTACAACATTTTCTGCAAGTTTTTACCATGGAAAAAAAATTTCTATGATCATTAAAATTGTAGCAAAATTTGTAAAAAAATTCTTGTAGATTATTTCTCATAAAAAATTTATAAGAAATATCTATAAATTATTTTTCACAAATAAATTCGCAAAAAAAAATTTATAAAATTAATATTGCAAGAAAATTTACAAAAAATTTCTACGAATATTTTTTTTTAGAAAATTGAAACTTTTCTAGTAATGACATGTATATCTATGTTATGATAAACAGTATAACTAACATTATTGTTTAATTACATTAACAAATCAGCTAAATCACAATATTTTCACAACTTGCACTATAATAATTCGTTTTCACACTTTCATGGTGTTACATCGAATCAAATTTCAAACTGTACAGATTCAAATCGAACCATAATCTTTTTTTGTTGTCAGATGCAACGTCTTTTTATGAGATGCGATGATATTTAACTAGATTATAATGGCAAATTATTTAAAATTTGGGTAGCGTAATATGAAATGGATATGGTGACATTAATTACAATTAATGACAAGCATGGTCCAGCCAACTATATATCCAACTCACCGAATAAATATTAAAGAATGGGGAAGAGAAACTCAGTACTCTCTGACTATGAACTTGGCTATGTATATATAATACTGAAAATATAACGTTTTGCACTCACCACAAACCAAAAGCTAAAGAGAGAGCTAAACTAAAATGGCAGAATCTGCATTGTCCTTGGCCGGTCAGCATTTGCTTCCAAAATTTTGGGAAGCTCTCAATATGCTAAAAGATCTCCCAAAAGAAGTTGCGGACCTTACAGATGAACTGGAGAGCTTTCAAGATTTCATCAATGATGCTGATCAAGTGGCTGAAACTGAACAAGATGGTGGTAGACGTGATAGAATCAAAAAAAGGGTGATGCGGCTGAGAGAAGTAGCTTTTCGCGTGGAAGATCTCATTGATGAATATAAGGTATGTGAGGAAAAGCAACCTGATGATCTTGGATGTGCAGCTTTACCATGTGAGGTTGTTGACTTCATCAAGACTCTGATCCATCGCATTAAAGTAGCATATGAGATTCAGGAAGTTAAGTCACTTGTTCCTGCAGAAAGAAATGGATTCAAAAGCCATTTTCCTTTAGAACAAAAGCCAAACAGTTCTAGAGGAAATCAAAATGTCACATGGCACAAACTTCGAATGGCTCCTCTCTACACTGGGGAAGCTGAGGTTGTTGGCTTTGACGGCCCTAAAGATCAATTGAAAGATTGGTTGATAAAGGGACGATTAGAGCGCACTGTCATCTCTGTGGTAGGAATGGGAGGACAGGGAAAAACCACTCTTGCAAAGTTGGTTTTTGACAACAAGGAGGTCTTTGAATGCTTCGATTGTCGTGCTTGGATCACAGTTTCGCAATCCTACTCTGTAGAAGGACTGCTGAGGGATATGTTGCAGAAGTTTGGCGAAGAAAGAATGAATGTTTCTTCGATGGATCAGATGTCCTTGATAGATCAAGTGAGAGCCCACTTGCATTCTAAAAGGTATGTTATCTTTTTTGATGACGTATGGAATAAATATTTTTGGGATGAGATTGACTTTGCTCTAATTGATAGCAAAAAAGGAAGTAGGATATTAATCACAACCAGAAACGAAGAGGTTACAGAGTTCTGTAAGAAATCTTCTTTCATTCAAGTGCACAAGATAGAGCCTTTAAGTGAAAAAGAATCTTTGAGATTGTTTTCTAAGAAGGCATTTGAGTATGGATCTTATGTATATTGTCCAGAAGAACTTAAATATATATCTCTTGAAATTGTTAGAAAATGTAAAGGTTTACCTCTAGCAATTGTGGTTATCGGTGGTCTTTTATCCCAAAAAGATAAAAGTGCCTTTGAATGGAGACAGTTCAGTCAAAATCTAAGTTTAGAGTTGGATAAGAATTTCAACTTTAGCCTAGCAAAAATTTTAAGTTTAAGTTTTGATGATTTGCCTAATAGTCTCAGATCATGTTTATTGTATTTTGGAATGTATCCTGAAGACTACGAAGTTAAATCTAACAGACTTATTATGCAATGGATAGCTGAAGGGTTTGTCAAATCAGAAGGGGAAAAAACACCCGAAGAAGTTGCACGGCAATATTTAGTAGAGTTGATCCATAGAAATTTGGTGCAAGTATGCTCATTTACCATTGATGGCAAACCCAAACGATGTCGTGTTCATGACTTATTACATGAGATGATTCTTACAAGAATCAAGGATACAGGGTTTGGTTTGTATATTGGTGAGCACAACGATTCCGTTTCAAGTGGGATCGTACGACGCCTAACAATTGCAACAGATTCTGATGATTTGCTTGGAAGTATTGAAAGCTCATACATTAGGTCAATTCTGTTTATCACCCGTAAAGAGTTATCTGAACACATGGTAAGGAGAATCCCTACTAAATACATGTCATTGAAGGTACTCGATTTTGATCATGCTCCATTGAGTTATGTTCCGGAAAATTTGGGAAATTTAATCTACTTGAAGTATTTAAGCTTGGGATACACAAAGATTCGTAGTCTACCAAAATCCATTGGTAAGCTCCAAAACTTGGAGACCTTGGATATCGACGGCGCGCTAGTGTTTGTGATGCCAAAAGAGATTACAAGACTTAGAAAACTTGGTCATCTTCGGATTAGCCGAATATCTTCCTTTGAAGCAGTAAAGGAAAGTCTTGGAGGCCTAACATCCCTCGAACAGATACGAACAATGAGAATAGATTCTGATGGAGTTGTGATTGCAGAGCTAGGAAAGCTAAAGAAATTAAGGGATTTGAGCTTAACTCATTTTAGGAGAAAATACAGACGCACTCTGTGTTCTTCGATAAATGAGATGCACTTCTTGGAGAAACTACGTATCGGAGCAAGGGATACCAATGAAGTCATTGACTTGTCCGATGTATCGCTCCATCCCACACTTAAGAAGCTTTGCTTGAGTGGGAAGTTAGAGAAGTTTCCAAATTGGATTCCAAAGCTCCAAAATCTTGTGAAATTGTCCTTGGAATTGTCCTTTTTAACTAGTGATCCGTTGAAATCACTAAAAGATATGCCAAATTTGTTGTGCCTAAATATTAGCCACCATGCTTATGAAGGTGAAAGTTTGCATTTTGAGGATGGAGGGTTTCAGAAACTAAAGGAACTGCGGCTTCAAAATTTGCAACATTTGAATTTCATCAGTATCCATAGAGAAGCACTTCTTTGTTTGGAAAGGCTTGAGTTAAGCGAATTACCCAAACTCAAGGAAGTACCTTCTGGCATTCTGCAGTTAGAGAAACTTGGAGTTGTCCATATATTGAACCTGCCAAATCATATTATGAGATTTTTTAACTATGGAAATCCAAAGCGCTGGATCATCCAGAGCAAACCCATATAGAATGTTTTAAAATTCTCTGCAAAATTGCCAAGATATGGAATCATCATAAAGCGTCCAACCTCGCAAATAAATGGTATGTTTGCTTCTTATTAATAACTGTAGAATGATATTTTTGGCTTTATTAGTTCCTAAAATTATTTCTTTACTTTTGCCTCCCTTTTTCTTGATTTTCTTCTAGTGTACGCTTTATTGTTCTTTGTCTACATCAATCATACAAATTAGGGATAAAATCCTCTAATAAGTATTAAGATATTATATGGTGTTGGTACGTACAAGACTTCAACAGCCATTAGTTGCCGTTGTTTGTTAAAAATAGCCTCTTCATTGTAATGCCTGTTCTAATATTGTGATCTGAATTGCTAGGTAGTGGGTTTGAAGTTCAACTCATGCTGTGTATAGCAAATCTTTTGGATTGCTCTTCTTGGTCAGGGGCTGGACCAGGGCTAATGGACGCTGTTACTCAAGGTGCCATACTAGCAGGAAAACCAGTTAGTGGATTCAAGATAGGAAGAAAAGCTGGGGAGTGGACAACCTCTAACTTTCATTCATACTTACCATCAGAAAATTACCTCACCTAGGCCTGCAGGTATCTACCATCAGTGCTCAATAACTTGTACTATTAGTATTGATATGGGTGCAATTGCTGCTTAGGTTGTTTTTGAACTTTTGAGTTCAGGTTTTTCTCTGCAAGGAAGCACAGTCTGTTGATGCTGTAGTGGGGAACAATTCATTTGATAGGTTGGTTGGTACTCTAGATGAGTTGTTTGATATACTGGAATTAATTCAGCTGCACTGGAATGGATCTAAGTTTCCTTGTTCTCTTCCTGTTGATGAACTATGATTCATTTTACTCAAAGCTGTTTCACTTTTTAAATGATTGTGAGGGTTCGGGAACTGTCTCTAAAGGAAAGGTTGCATCATTGTGGAAGGTTTGTAACAGCAACTCAGAAGATTTGGCATACCTTGAAGAATTCTACTGCATTTATATTCTAGTGACAAAAGTAAGAATGTCACTAAATTGTATAAAAACCGGATGGAATGACCAGTTTGGGGGAAGAAAGTGAAACTTTTTGAATTTGGAAGAATAAATAAAAAAAATGGAGAGAAAAGTGTATTTTAGCCTAATATTAAAAAAAAAATTAATGTGTGAGGACACCGTATATTTAGTTATAATATTTGAATATCTATTTAATGATTTGAATGTTTATGAAAAGTCATTCCTGAATTATTTATTTATAATGATTAAAAATAAATTATAAAATATTTTACCAACACTAAATTATGTATATAATGACTAATGTGAAAATGTTGAAAAGATATTTTATAATTATTTTTATTGTCATTTAAAATAATATTAAATGTCATTAAAAGTTTATTTTGTTATAGTAATAGAAACAAGTTCCAATGATTTGATTGGAATTGAAAGATCATATATTGAGTCAATTCTAATTTTCACAAAGTAAATGTTATCTAAATACTTGATAGGCGAAATCCATGCAAAATACATGCCGTTGAAGGTACTTGATTTTGGTTATACTTGATTTTGTCAATTGTAAGATGTTCCTGAAAATTTGGAGAATTTAATCCGGTTGAAGTATCTAAGCTTTAGGTATACACAGATACCAAGTCTTCCAAAATCCATTGGTAAGCTCCAAAACTTGGAGACCTTGGATGTACGAAATACTTTTGTTTCTTCCATTGCACAAGAGATTAGCAAGTTTAGAAACCTGCCTCATCTTCTGGGTGATACATTATGTTCCGTTAATTGAAGTAATGGATAGTCTTGGAAGCATGACATCCCTTAAAAAGATATGTGTACTCTATATATAGATCTTGACAAATTGGTAATTAGAGAGCTAGGAAAGTTAATGCACTTAAGGGATTTGAGGATTGCTAGTTTTAGGGAAGACCACGGGAACACTCTATGTGCCTCAATAGATGAGATGCAATTAGAGGTACTATGACTTTTTAACATCATTTTATTTCAAAATTCTTGTAATGATTAACTTTTAAAAAAATTATGAAAATGCCTAAATTGTGTTTCTTAAACACAAATTTTAGGGTAAAAATCGTGTTTTAAAACACAACTTTTCTATTTATAATATTTAGATATTTTATTCAAAGTTAAGAATAAAAGTCATATTTAACAACACGAATTTTGAAGAGAGTTATTTTTTTATAATGATTTTATTTATTTTTTACTTATTTAATTTAATTTTTTTTTTTTAAAATGAAGCCTTGTTATTAAACATGACTTTTTTTTTAGTATAGTGGAAAGAAAAATAAAGAAACCAAAGAAGAAACAGAACTTAAATTAAACTAAAAGGAGCATCCCGCACTATAGCTGGAAGCTAATACCAAAAATGTCACTTCTCACCTTGATGAGTGCAATTGATAATATAAAAAATATTGATAATTTCATTTTTAAATTACAAATTTATTTATTCAATAATGTTATTAATAATTTAAATTTAGTTTTCAGTTTTCACACTTTCATGGTTTTTCATTGAATTAAATTTGAAACTGTACAGATTCAAATCGAACCATAATCTTTTTTGTTGTCAGATGCACTACTAAAAAAGTGTCATTTTCTTACAAATTTTCCTGCAAAAAAATATTCGCAGAAATTTTTTACAAATTTATTTGCGAAAAATAATTTACAGATATTTCTTACAAATTTGGTTACAATTTTAATAATCATAGAAATTTTTTCCATGGTAAAAATTTACAAAAAATATTGTAAGAATTTTATTTTGTTTCTTGCAGATTTTCTTGCAAAAATAAATTCGCAAGTAATATTTACTAAATGGTAGAAAAATTTTGCAAGTAACTTTTCCTGTAAATTTTCCTGCAAATTTTAATCTGCAAGAAAAATAAAAATATATAGTTAAATTTAATAAGTTTAATATTTTAAAAAAAATTCAAGTCCCACATCGATTGAAAATAAAACAATTAAAGAGTATATAAGTTGGGACAACACTTACCTTACAAGTTGATTTATATGGTTGAATGTTAGACTTATAATTTACAATCTTAGAATTTAAAAGATTATGTACCACATGTTGGAGGCATGAAAACAAATGTTTCGGATGAATTCATTGTGAGCATTTGAAAGTGCTGCAAAATTTCTTGCAAAAAAATTCGCAGGAAACTTTCCTGCGTTTTCCTGCGAATTTTTTTTTGCAGGAAACTTTCCTGCAAAATTTTTTTCTTGCATGAAACTTTCTTGCGCATTTTTTTCGCAAGAAATTTCGCAGGAAAATTTCCTGCGAATTTTAAAATTCGCAAAAAAATATTATCCACAAAGGTATTACTTGCAGATAAAATTTCGCAGAAAAATTTGCAGGAACAACGTTTCCTGCGAATTTTTCATAAAAATTTGCAGGAAAAATCGCATGTAATAAGAGAAATTCTAGTAGTGATGCGAGAACTTTTTATGAGATGCGATGATATTTAACTATATTATAATGGCAAATTATTTAAAATTTGGGTAGCGTAATATGCTATGGATATGGTGACAACTAATTGACATTAACAAATTGCAAATTTAATACTGGCATGAACTTCCCACGTGTCTGAGTAAGTCAAACTACCATGTGTTTTTGGACAAGGAAATGATACCTTAGTGATGCCAAGTATTATAACGCGTTTTTAGGAAATATTACGTGATGTTTCATACTGCTTCAACTAATTACAATGACAAGCATGATCCATTCAAATAATCGAATAAACAACTCTAGAATAGCTATATATCCAACTCACCTAATACATATTAAAGAGTGGGGGTAGAGAAACTCAAAGTCCTCCTCTGACTTGGTTATGTATATAATGATCAACAACATAAAGTGTTGCACTAACCACAATATTGAAAGAGAGAGGTATGATGAAAAAAGTCCAACACAATAATAATAACTAATTAAAAAAGAGTAATAATGCAATGAGAATTAAATCTTTCAATTTACAAGAATATGTGAGAGCAGCAACAAAATAGAAGGAAAAAAAGAAACCTAAACACACAGACACAAATATTTTTAATATGAAAAATTCCTAATAAAAATCATGAGTTGCTTTCCCTTTAAAACTTGTTGTTTCGAAATTATTTTCTTCTGTGTTCCACTTCAATAAAGAAATATTTAAAATACATAATATTTAAATAATTAAACTAAAAATAAGATTTAAAAATATAATATATATTAATAATTATCTAAATTAAATAAAATATAAATGCATATTTAAAGATCACTTCACTAGAAAAGCAATTCGCACCTAGAGTTCTATGCTGTTAACTTATTCCCTGTTGTCTAACATGTCAAGAGTTTTTTTAGTCCTTTGGAATTCCAGAGAAAACCCTGAAATTGACTCCACGGAAAAATAATACTGACAAGCACCAAGAACCGAGCACCAAGCGTTTTCCCCATAACATATATTATTGTTTAATTGTTTTCACGACTTGCTGTACAATAGTTAGTTTTCACACTTTCATGGTACATTGAAACAGATTTGAAACTGTATTTAAACAGATCCAAATGGAACCATAATCTGACTTTTTATCAGATGAGATGATATTCAACTATATTATATGTGCAACTTATTTAAAATTGGGTAGCATGCATGATATGCTATGGATATTGTGACAACTAATTAACATTAAAAAAAATTGCAAATTTAGTACTGGAATGGACGTTTCCACGAGTTTGTGAAACCAGCGCAGCTAATGTAAGTCAAACTACCATGTTTTGTGGACAAGTGGATGATACTTTAATTTAGCCGGCCCAAATATAATACCTCTTTAGAGTTGGCGCAACAACGTGGAGGTTGCGGTTTGGGACCCTAGGGTTCGTGAGAGGCTCGCAAGGTTGAATAGTCGGAAGGATGATTTTACGTTTCCCGCATTAAAGTCAAACTTATTTACGATGTAAAAATCTTATAATAACCAACGTAAAATACCTCTTTTGCATTAGTGAGTGTCTGAAACTCATGTAAGTCAAACTACCATGTTTTTGTGGACAAGTGGATGATACTTTAATTTAGCCGGCCCAAATATATTTGACTAAATGATGTTAAAATAATAAAATAAATATTACAATGACAACTGTCAAGCGTGATCTCTATTTAAATAATAATCGAATACAGATCTACAAATTTGCTATATATCCAACTTGCTGTATAAATATTAAAGAATGGGTGGTAAGTGAAACTTAAAGTCCTTCTCTTACTACAGAATTGAATATATATAATCTTAAAAAACATAAAGTTTTGCACTCACCACAAACACACAGCGAAAAAAGAGCTAGACTGAGATGGCAGAAACTGCAGTGTCCTTGGCTCGTGAGCATTTGCTTCCAAAAATTGTGGAAGCTGTGAAAATGCTTAGAGATCTCCCAAAAGAAGTTGCAGACATTACAGAAGAACTGGAGAGCTTTCAAGATTTCATAAATGATGCAGATCAAGTGGCTGAAGCTGAAGAAGATGATGGTAGGCGTGATAGAATCAAAAAAAGGGTGATGCGGTTGAGAGAAGCAGCTTTCCGCATGGAAGATATCATCGACGAATTCTCGATTCATGACGAAAACAATCCTCACGATCCTCGATGTGCAGCTTTACTCTGTGAGGCTGTTGAGTTCATCAAAACTCGGATCCTTCAACTTCAAGTAGCATATAAGATTCAGGATGTGAAATCACTTGTTTGTGCTGAAAGAGATGGCTTCCAAAAGCAATTTCCTTTACCAACAAAACCGAGTGGTTCTAGAGGAAATCAGAATGTCACATGGCACAAGCTTCGAATGGATCCTCTATTTATTGAGCAAGATGAGGTTGTGGGCTTTGAGAGTCCAAGACGTACGTTGAACAATTGGTTGATAGAGGGACGAGAAGAGCGCACTGTCATCTCTGTTGTTGGTTTGGCAGGAGTTGGAAAAACCACTCTTGCTAAGCAAGTTTTTGACAATGTCCATAACAACTTCGAGTGCCATGCATTGATCACAGTGTCTCAATCCTACACTGTAGAAGGACTCCTCAGGGATATGTTGCACCAGTTTTGTAAAGAAAAGATGGAGAATCATCCTGCAGATGTTTCTACCATGGATCGAAGATCGTTGATTGAAGAAGTGAGAAAGCAGTTGCGCAACAAGAGGTATGTTGTCATGTTTGATGACGTGTGGAATGAAAAATTTTGGAATGATGTTGAATTTGCTGGAATTGATAATAA